TGAGCTTATTATATAAACTCTCATAGAGCACGCTCTTTCAACCAATGACAGCGCACGTTATATTCGAACTTTATTATAAAAACTATGTAAGTGATCTTATTGATTCTTGCTTTGATACTGCAAGGAGAAAAGCTCATTAGTCATCCTGTGTCCTGCTTACCAGACATTTCTTACCCAGATGATTCGTACCCAAAGTCGAGATGATTCGTACCCAAAACTAAGTTCATTCGTACCCAACTGCCTGTTTGATAATAAAACCTTTTTTAATCATATCTCTCTCAAAACAATAAAAAATAAACATTTATATAAATTAGGGGTAAAGTTTCTGCACAGCTCCATACTATTGGATATGTATTGTTTTTGTCATTGCTTCCTCTATTCAAGAACTGAATGCATAGTGTAGGATGGGGCTGTGTGGAAATTTTACCTAAATCAGGACTCGTTACCTACAAAATTTTGATATCATGGCCTGATATTGCCATCATAAAACAATTTATATGTTGATGTTGGGACTTGTCAAATCATAAACTTTACAAAGTGGTGGATTGTTTGTTGTATTTTGTTAAGTCGAGCACTTAACTGCAAGACAGTTTCCCCTGCTAGTGTGATAGTGGCACATCGTATTGTATGGTAGTTGCTTTCAAGTTGTCAACAATTCCCACAGCATTGATTTCCTGTGTCCCCTTTAACGAAGCTACATTTTTCACTGTACAGTTACACACTTCCATCTACCATCAATGTGTTCATTATCAAATGATTTGTTAACTTTACCAGAGAGAAAATACTTAATTCTGCTATTATCTTTAGTCAAGAAAATTAGATTAGCACACAGTTTTAATTTAGTCCATTTGATTGTGATCTTTTTTTACTTTTAGTAAAGAATACTGTATGCCTTTAATTCTGTAATTAGTGTTGACGCCTTTGGTCCATTTGTATAATTTTAATTTTTGTTTGTTAACTTTCATTCCTTAATAAAATTAATTTGTGAATTAAAATAATGTGCCACTCACAGTGAAAACAATATTTGCAGGACTCCTGTGAGTGGCCACTTTATGTTCAGGTGACTCACTCTTATGAGTTTAGTGAATTGCACCACAGTGGTTAAAATCCAAAAGAGCAGTGTAAGCAATCTGCAGTCAGTAGAATTTGACAATTTTTCTGCAGATATGATAACACTTAATAACAGAAATACGATGTTTAAAAATTAGGCATGAAACACAAGTTTTTGTTAACATGCTGTGTGTTTAATGCAAGGCCATTTTTTTTTCTGTGAAGTATCAATTAATCTGATTTGCTTATCAACAATTTCACTATCCACATCTCACAACTCCTTAGTTTTATGTTTATTTAATTCTTTACTGTGACCAAATATCATGCACCACAATGTATTATGTAATCTCCCAACAAGTGCAAAGGGATGTTGAAATACTTGATTTTTAAAATGCATTGACCAAAGAAATTGAGAGTAATCTTTAGCACAGAAGTGATTAAGTTATGACAGACAACTGTTAAATTACCATGCATTATTCCTGAAATTTTTTCACTCTCGTTCTGTGATGGCCAATATTGGTGAAACTTTTTTGTACCAGTTATTTAATTCCACATTTCTAGTTGTTGCCCCAAACATTAACTTTTGCTCTTGTAAATATTTAAAATAATTTTTTTTTCAGGTCTTGATTTTAAGATAAAGACCATTGAGCTTCAAGGAAAGAAGATCAAGTTGCAGATATGGTTTGTTTGCTTGTTATGCAGTCTACTTTTAAAGCTGTGTCCACAATTCCTTACCCTATTATGAAACACTAATGGTTGAGTAATTGATTAGTGATGAATTTTAACCATCTCCGAAACTGGATTTGCATGGTAGCTGTGCAGAGGCTTTTTCCAAGCCAGCCCAACTTTGTCTATTTTACTTCAATTTCTATAGAAATGTCTTTTACATACTGCTCAACAATTGTCCATATTAGACTTTGGCAAAATAGAGGACTCTTGGTTTGAAGTTTTTAGTTTGTGATCAATTGAAAATCCCACCTCTAAAAAAGCCACTTAAAATGTAAGGAGTTTTTTTTACAGGAAAAAAGAAACTTTTGTGCTTCTAGAATTTTTTTGTGGGATGGAGTGGGTCTAGAAATGTACAAAGGATATATCTTGATTTTTGAACATAGGTGACATGTTACTTACTAATACAGTGCATGGTTCCTTTAACTCTCTGATCACTTTGCAGGGATACAGCTGGCCAGGAGCGTTTTCACACAATTACCTCATCATATTACAGAGGAGTAATGGTGAGGTTATTCATAGTTAGGATGTTGTTGGTCTTGGTAGTCAATACTTATCTGTGATTAATAACCTTTTCATTTCCAAGAGCAGTCAGGCAATTTATTCTCTAGTTTTAATAATATCTAAATAATACCCCCGGCTGATGATTTCTATATTCTCATTATCTCTTCTTTCTTTGATGATACACTGATGTTGTTGGGAGAACTTGAATTTTGATTTCCCTTCTAAAGGTTGTCCTGCAAACTGACCTGCTTTGATTGAATTTCCCTTTCATTTTGCACAATGGAACAAAAAGTCATGAAATGAGTGGTGATTTTGTTGGTGATTTATTTTTATGCAGGGCGTTATGTTGGTCTATGATATCACTCAGGAGAAAACGTTTGATAACATCCCCAAGTGGCTGAGGAATATCGAGGAGGTAATATTGACATGAAAAGTTTTCTTTTCTACTTTGGCCAAGCTTATGGCTTGTGACCCCTGTATGTAACATAGTAGAAAGGTGTTAAATAAAAGCATGTTCTGGGCATCACTTTAGTAAATAAGGTGTAATGTTAATGGCAGAAAAATCTGCAAAGGAAGGTAAACATGAAGCAATGAAAAAGGAGGGAGACTTGGGACAGGCCAAAGTTCTTGCTTCTTTCCATCACTTTATGTTTGCCTTTCTCTATTGGTACAGTCATGACATATTGACTTAGAGTTGACAACTCAAGACCGATTACTTCCTCTGATTGACTGATAAGAGAAATAAAATTTTCTTGGCAATTTCAGAATGCACCTGATGTTGAAATGATGATCCTTGGTAACAAGTGTCATATGGATGATAGAAGAGTTGTTACCAAAGAACGTGGAGAACAGGTGAATTAAGTGAACAATTGGTGCATTGTATGAGGTGCACTTTTTGATATACTGCCTCTGTTTCATATTAATGCTGTCATACCCTTTTTTATTAACTTTTGAAGAAAGCTCTTAGACAACAATCTGAAGGCCTCTATTGAAAATAAAAAACTATAATACTATTGTATTTGCATGTTCAGCCTTAACAAGGAAAACTTATTTAGTCTCCTTTGCTGGAATGACACGCTGAAATGTAAAGAGTGTTGACAAAGGCTAGAAGGTTACACTCTATGTAATCAAGGAATCTGGAGAGAATTAGTAACATCACTAAAATATTTTCAAATGTTCAAAAAAATTTTGACTTTGGAAACCAGTGTCCATTTTTTTAATCATGCTGATCAACATGGCTGCTTGCTTGTGATAACACAGTATAGCCTATCATTTTCTTTGAACATTTAAGGGCTACTCAAAAAGATGTTCCTGACTTAAACAATGATTCAATAGTGAAAATGAAAATGATATGTTCTCTGGGGCATACTTTTCTTTTTAAAGAGTATTATAGTATTTTCCAAAGGTATTTTTTGGAGAGAGTATGTCAATTAGATGTACTGCTGCAGTAGCACTTGCTGAACAACACCCTTTTTGTCATAGATTGCCAGAGAACATGGTATTCGCTTCTTCGAAACAAGCGCCAAAACCAATGTCAACATAGAACAGGCATTCTACACCCTAGCAGAAGATATTCTAAAGAAACAATTGACCAAAGACAATGAGGAAACTTCCCAAAACATCCGTGTGAACAATATACAAGAGAAAAAGTCTAGCTGCTTTTAAAGAGAGTTTTGACAGCAGCTATATTTTTGGTAGACAATTCACTTAAAATGTGCAGTTAATTCTTATGGGGGATAGTCAGTTCCTGGAACAGAAGTGTATGTAGTTTCCATGTGTGAGATAAATGGAGAGGATGGACTTCCCACTTTCCTCACACAG